TGAATGTTTCAAATAAATATAATAAAAATAACATTTATTCATAACACTATGTAATAACTTCTAAATTTGTAAATTTAAAGTGATGTGATTCAATAAAGGTATTCAGGTTAAAATCATGAAACAGTGAAAAACTGGTGGTTGCCAGAGGGAAGGTGGATGGGGGGTGGATGAAATAGATACAGGGGATTAAGAGGTACAAAATTACAGTTATGATATAAATGAGTCATGGAAATGAAAAGTACAGTACAGGGGAATATAGTCAATAATATTGTAATAACATTGTATGATGACAGATGGCAACGACACTTAACAATGGTGAGCACTGAGTATTATACAGAATTGTCGAATCATTATGTTGCACACCTGAAACTAATACAATACTATATGTCAATTATACTTAAATAATAAAAATAATAATAATAAAATAAAAATGTGTAATCTAAAAATGAAAGAAAAAAGATTTCTAACTGATAAAAAATATCCTACCTGCCTGTTCCACATGGATTTATCTTTAAGCAAATGCTTCATGAGGACAGTCCCCACCTACCTATCTAGAATTGATATCAGATCTTGCATTCAGAGGAAAGGCCTGTCAAATAGCACACTCACACAAAAGCAGATAAAATCCATGCCACTTATGTTTCATAATCAACCTAGTTCATCTATTTGTAAAAGTATAACACAGGATCACCAGACATCAAGGAAAACCAATATCATGGGAGTCTAACAGACAAAACAAGAGAATAAATAGACTTGACTGGAAAGAAAATAAGATCAGAATAAAATTTTCATCTTAAGAAAAAGGGGGTAGGGTTGATTTGGTATATTCAGGAATATGTGGGAATAGTTTGCCTACAAACTACAAGAGCATTCAGAGAGCAAGTTACTGGGAAATAAAATTTCAGCATCACACTTATTCACCACTGAACCTCAGCACTTAAAATAATGCCTGGACAGTAAGAACTCCACTCCCTACAATACTTGTAGAATGAATAATCAGTGGAACCTATACATAACATTTACTGCTGTAACCATCTTCAAGTGTACAGTTCCATACCATTTAGTACATTCTCAGTGTTGTACAACCGCCTCAACTGTCTATCTCCAGAACTTCTTTGTCACCCCAAATGGAAACCTGCATTAAGCAGTCACTCCCCATTTAGCTTTCCCCACCCTGGCAAACACTAACCTACTTCCTGACTCTGTAGGTGTGATTCTGGATATTTCATATAAATGGAATCATACAATATGTGGCCTTTTGTGTCTGGCTTCTTTCACTTAGCATGTTTCCAAGGTTGAGCCATGTTGTAGCATGTATCAGTATGTCGTTCCTTTTCATAGCTGAATAACACGTCACTCTATGGGGATACTATATTTTGTTTATCTATTCATCTGTTGATGGACACTGGGCTGTTGCACTTGCACACACCATTTTCTTCCACTGCCCCCATAGTCTCCCTCCCCAGTCAACTCTATCTCAGCTGGTAGCACCACCACTTACCCAGTTGTGTAGGCCCCAAAACCTAGGAATCATCCTTGATTCTTTCCTCCTCTAAGCCCCACTCCACATTACATCACCGTCAGCTAGTCCTGTTATATCATCCAGACACACCCCAGTTTTGGTCACATTTCACCACTTCTCCAGCTACCACCTAACACAAGCTACTGTCCCTCTGGTCACACCTAAATGTCTGTTTGCTTCCTTTCTCCCCTTCTCCCCCAATCATTTCCCCACAATAATCAAAATTACCTTTCAGAAGTATGAATCAGACCATGCCACATCAGTGCTTATGACCCTTCTTTGACTTCCCAGTACAATGTAACAAAATCTAGATGTCTTGCTATGAGCAACAAGTTCAGCATGATCCAGCCCCTGCCTACCTCTCTTGAGCATCAATCCACTCTCCAGCCATACTGGCCCATCTTTGAGTCTCTCCCACACCAGATACTTTCCTGACCCAAGGCCTTGACAATCCCTGAGCTTCTGCCTGGGACACACCTTCCCCTCAAACTTTGCTTGGCTCCCTCCTCACCATCCAAGTCACCTGTGCAAAGAGGCCTCTCCTGACTCTCCTATCTGAACGAGACTAGTCTTGTGCTCGCTTCGGCAGCACATATACTAAAATTGGAACGATACAGAGAAGATTAGCATGAACGAGACTAGTCTCTCTCTGACCCCTTACCTTCCTGGGTTTTTCCTTCATAAAACTAAAACCATATAAAATTATTTACTGTTTATTATCTGTCTCCAGCCCCCAAGAATGTAAGCTCCAAAAAAGGTAACTTGCCTTCAGCCAAATCCCCAGGGCCTAGAGCAGTACCTCAAATATATGAGGCATTCAGTAAATACTTGTTGCTGAATAATGAATGCACTGCATTATATACACCCATAGAAAGACGACTTTGTACTCAATAAACAGAATATCCATTCTTTTTAAACATCCTTGAACATTTATATGAATAGGCCATGAAGTGCTCTTTAACCATGTTAGTGAGAGCGTAAATTAGTGTAAGTTTTCTCATGCATAATTTGATAATATCTATCCAATTTTAAAATGCAAACACCCTCTGAACCATATATTGGCACACTTGTGATAAATCAAGTGATCCTCTATGTGTGGGCCTATTTCTGTTCTATGGTCTATTTGATCACTTTCAATGATTATATGGACATTCATATGGATGTAAGGAAAGTTTCCTTTCCATAATATTATTGTTTTCTATCGTTCTATGTCCTAGAGCTGATTATCCTATATAACAATAGATGTAGGAAAGATTTAATACTGTGGTAATATTAATATAGAAAATACATTTGTCTGTGGCAGGAAGACTTTCACCATATTTAGAAGAACATTCTGGGACACTGTCCTCCTGGACCTTGGTATCTGTCTGGAGGGGGGAGTAAAAATTTGTTTTAATTATAGGAATCACCACTTTGCCTTTTTATACTCCTATCAAATATTATTCTCCCCTCTCAAAGTTCCTGAAGGATACTGAAATTATAAATGTTGCAAATTACTGAAAAGATGACATGTTTGAATAGCACTCAGGTATTAGAAATGAAACACCTCTTTTTTTTTTCCACATGTGGGGGAGGGACAGAGAGGGAGGGAGAGAGAGAATCCCATGCAGGCTCCATACTTAGCACAGAGCCCCATGTGGGGCTCAATCCCATGACCATGAGATCATGACCTGAGCTGAAATCAAGAGTCGGATGTTTAAACAGCTGAGCCACCCAGATACCCCAGAACTGAAATATCTTCTAAAACCAACTATTATGGGTTTGATAAAGTGTCACTTTGGTCCATGGTGCTGAAGCAACTGGATATCCATTTGAAAATATAAATGAGACTCTTTGTTAGGTGAAGCACTCTAGCACAGTAGACTTTTATTTGTCCATTGTGCAAATAGGAAGAGCAGAGAGCCAAGGATCCTCTTCTGGTTTTACAGAACAACTCTGACAATGTTTATACTACTTGGGAACGTAAGTGTCAACTACAACATTATCACCAGAGCAACAAATAAGACTATCTTAACAAGTCTTAACATGTAAGACAGAATGACAGGTGTCATTAAAGGTTATACTCACATAACACGGCAACAATTTCTAAGATATCTAGCATATACAAGATTCCTTTGTTCAAATAATAATTCCAATAACAGATTTTTATTACAGAGGACAGAATGAGCTGACAGCAGTTGTGAATATTTGTGCAAGGCTCACATCACAGAGGAAGCAAGACTGATGACCTTGTGAGAGTTCACATTTGACCCTGTATCTCATTGGGTCCTTTTACCAAGTTTTACCATGAGGAAGGTCATCTCTCTCTTTGCTGCAGAAGAAACATCTTTTTCATCTTTTTATTAGAGTTTGAAAAAATTTAGGAGGTTTTTTATTTTCAGAACCAGGCTCTAAAATTTTATTAGTCAGCATTAAGAGCAGAACACAAACCTGTGGGATTTGCCTTTACTATGGAAAAATGGATTGTTAGGATTTGACTTGACACCAGTGAAATTGAGATAATTTAGCCTCCACATTACAAAAGAACAAGAGTAAAGCTCACATCAGGCTTCTCTTCAACAACCCAGGTACTAAAACACAGTAAGATAGACGGGTCTGATCATCAAAGGGGGGAATGTGGTAGGGTCCCCTCCCTAAGGAAAGCAAACAAGTCAAACTGGCTATACATATACGTGACAACATCCCTTACAAACTTGTAACATGAGACCACTTAATCAGACTACATGTTTGTATGTTATCATATATGAGGGACAAAGAAGTAAAATATATATTTAAAAAAACTATGCCACATGGCAAATTGGGCTCAGTTCTTTGGGTACAAACTCAACTGAGCAGTACTGGCAAAATAAAGTTGCTTCCTGGAAAGAATAAGTAAATAAATACATACATACATAAATATATAAATTAAATAAAATAAAACAAAACACAATAAGAAAATAGCTACCAAGTGTTTTGGTAACATGGTTTCAATTAAACTAGAATATTGTACATAGCCAAACACAGTTTAAATGTGAAGATAGAGTAAAGACATTTCCTACAAGCAAGGACTTGGGACATTTACCTCTGATGTACTCATTTTTGGAAAGTTGCTTGAAATTATTCTGAAACAAAACAAGGAGAAAAGAAAGGAGAAGACCACTGACCCAGGAAACAAAAAAAATAAACGCAAAGAGCAGGAAAGGGAAGTTCTAATGTAACTTGTTATGGAGCAAGATGAAAGCACAAGCAGGAGATACTGGAGAGAATGTGATACCCGCAGGAGAGGTCTTCAGGAAAAAGAGGTACATAGAGGAAAAGAATGGTAATGGTAATAAGTAATAGGGTAAGTAATATCATAAAGGAAATGGCACAAGAGACAAAAAAAAAAAAAAAAAAAAAAAAAAGAAAAAAAAAAAAAAAAAAAAAAAAAAAAAAAAAAAAAACAGAAAAGAAAAGAAAAGAAAAAAAGGAAAACGAGTAGAAATACCAGAGGGGAAAAAGCCACACAATTTAAAAAGGGAAATGAAAGTACAGCTTGCCCTTTGGTTCTAAAGTAAACAGAACTCTGCCCTTTGAGGTGAAAATTTAGAGTTGGAGTGTATATCCAACAGATAAAGTCTGTGTAAATTACAGAAGGCCTTCAAAGCTAGGCTGGCGGTTGGGGGAGTAGGTAGGAGAGGGAAGCTAGGCGCAAAGATTTATGCCCATGGTTTGAAGAGCACAGACAACCATAGCTGGTTCTTGAGGAAAAGAATGAAAAATTAAAGGCAGCATTTTAGTAATATTAGCCTGACAGTAGGAGAGGCAGGAAACCGAAGCATAAGTCTGTTGCAATTTTCCAGGAATGAGGTGGAGGAATAAGCAGACAATAGAGAGGGAAGAGAGAACCTATCAGAAAGGCATTTCAAAAGATATGGGGAGTGGGCAAAACAGTGGGGATGGTCTGTGAACTGGAAAAACAGTGATAGCTTTTCATCTAGAATTGCTGTTTAATTATTACACATACTTTTCCTCCCCCTCTTCTTTCTATTTCTTTTCCTCCCTCCAGGTTAATATCAAGCTCCTTGATTAAAGCTTGTATGTGTTTCCCTGACACTAGCACTGGATCCTACAACAACTAGTCTCTCAGCTAGTGCCTGTGATCATGACTGTGGGTGCTGGTGGTGGTGGTAAGATAATGATGATGATGACGACGATGACGATGATGTTTCAATGCCTTAAGTATAGGAAAATTGGAAGCAAGAGTGACTTGGTGTATAAAATAATGACAGTGGAATCAGAGCTTTGGTGAGACGTCAGTTCCTAACTGGGAGTTGGGAAAAAAATAATTTTTGAAAATATTGCTGCTACTTCTTTAGTGAAATGCCTTCATTTTCCACTTCTTTAGCATTTTTAACTTAATTCCGTCTATACCTATGCAAAGTTAAAACTAAATAGTATTGAGAGGTCTGACTACTGTCAAAGAAACTAATTTCAAAATTCTTTCAAAGCCTTTTTTGACTGAAAACAGACTTTTTAAAAAAGCAGAGTTATTTAAACAAGCTCTGTCCTGAGAGTTGAGGCCTTCTACATCTTGTTTTGTTCTGGTTTCTGAAGATTAAAAAAAATGTTATTTTCAAAGAAAGCACTAGGTGGCACTTGTGATGTATTCAATAATTACCTCAGATTCTTTTTGGAAAAGGTTTGGTTGGGGTGGTGGGGAATGCAATACATATTAAAACAGGAAAATCTTCATTACAATAATGAAGATCAGTATCTTATGATTGTGTTTACTATGTTACTATGTATGAGTAATATCTTTATGCAGTGTTTGCATTTAAAATCTGAGGTTCACTTCCTTATAAAAAACCATAAGAGAGGAACCAGCATTTCTCTAACATGTGAAAATCCCACATCACTAAAATAATAATGAAAAACTAGTGTTTGATTTGCAAAAGTTGACTGTATGTGTTCTTTTAAACAGTCAGTTCCTCTCTTCTACTTAAAACATTTCAATGGTGTCTGGCTGGCTCAGTTGGTGGAACATGTAACTCTTGATCTTGGGGTTGTGAGTTTAAGCCCCATGTTGGGTCTAGACCTTACTTATAAAAAAAACCCAAACATGTAAAAATAAAGCTTTTCTTTTTTTTTAATCAAATAAAGCTTTCCAAGGTCCAACTAGTGTGTAAGGCAAAATGAATTATTAATTTTTAAAAACACACAACAGCTAAAAATTTTTGAGTAATATTAACCAAAAAAAATTGAAAGCAGGTGTCTTAGCATATTTTTACACCTTTATAGTGATAACATAATGACTTTAAGCAAGTGTATTCTCTTTTCTGGCATTTGGATAGGCAGTTCCTATTTGGCAAGTTGCTTAATTATCTCATGACCCCACTTTACTATAGAGAGACTGAAAGCTCTTTTAACAAAATGCAGGTTGAGAAGGTATTATTTCAAGTAGAAAATATTGTTGCCAAATACATGGCAACTGTAGCCTGTAGACGCTGTCGTATTATTGCATCTTTCCTCTACCTATTGTCTGGACCTTCAGGGTAACCATTATGGATCAGGTTCATTCATGGCTTCACCTCACTATTCTATGCTTATTCTCCTTTGTCTAATTTCCACTTCTTATTTTACGGTATTTTTTCTTGCTATCCCTTTGTAGGATAATTTAACATAATGAAGTCCTTTTGGAACATGATGAGTTATAAATAAATTAATAAAAATGCTAATATGCTTTTAATTGCACTAATTTGTAGGTTTGGGATGAAATTGACATTTCGAAGGTAGTATCTCATGTAGTTGTAAACTCCACATGTCAGAGCTCAGAGCTAAATATGCAAAATTGCAGCAGTGCTGAAAACATCTTGGATCTCAGCTTAACAACTGTGAGATTCACAATGTTAAGTTTCAGCTTAACAATTGATAGGAATGGATTCTGTCTGACTAACTCAGGCAAATAGGGACTTAAACAGAACGATAGCCAGGAGCTCACAAGATAGATGGGAGACTAGAGGGCCAGACCTGGCTATAAGACAGGAATGAGGACAGCTCCTGGAGTCTAGGGAACAAGAACAACTTCTGGATCTTTCTGAGGTGCTGAGCTCCAGTGTATGCCCTCACTCTATTTCCCATCCTGTGTATCTCTTCTCAAGATGAAAAATTCCATGAGTCCAGATTGCTTCATGTGTTCTGTGAATTCACAGATTTCTAGAGCTAAAACCAAGGGAAATTTACTATGGAGTAAAAGTGTATCTTGAAAGGTTGCCAAAATATAAAGAAATATAAATTCAAAAAAATAAAACATCCCAGGAGTCTAGCTGTCTTCCCTTGGATCAGTCACATGTGACTCCTTAGTTGCAGCGAGATGAGGAATACTAATTTACATCCCTACCAAGATTACCAACAGAGGGAGTGAGGGAATTCCCCACTAGGAAACAGAGGTGTTCTCCTAAGGGAGGTGATTGCTGGTTACCAAAAAACAACCTAGGTGCACTATACTACAGCAAGAGTAGACTATTAGTTTCTGTATTATATTAAAAACTCCTGATGAGGGGTTAGTTAAGCATCGACTTTGATTTCAGCTCAGGTCATGATCTCATGGTGCATGAGTTTGAGCCCCAAAGCAGACTCTGTGCTAGCAGCGTGGAGCCTGCCTGGGATTCTCTCTCTGCTTGTCTCTCTGCCCCTCTTCTGTGCATGCATTTGGTCTCTCTCTCAAAATAAATAAATAAACATTTTTTAATAAAAAATAAAAGCCCCTGATGAATAGTGCCTCCCCCCAAAATTCATGTCCATGCAGAACCTCAGAATGTGACCTTATTTTGAAACAGGATCATTGTAGATGTCATTAGTTGAAAATCTAGATCAGCTCTTAATGGATTAGGGTGGGCCTTTAGTCCAGTGACAGTGTCCATATCAGAGGCAGATGAAAACACACCTTCTTTATAGAGAAGAAGGTAGAGAAGAAGGTGATGTGAAGATGGAAGTAGAGTCTGGAATGCTGTCTATAAGTCACATAATGTCAAGGGTTGCCAACAAACACTAGAACCTAGGAGAGAGGCATGGACGGTGTTTCCCTCAGAGCCTCCAAAAGGAATCAACCCTGCCAACAATTTAATTTTGGACTTCTGGCCTCCCAAATGGTGAAATAAGAGATTTCTGTTGTTTTAAGCCATTCAGCTTGTGGTAATTTGTTATGGCAGCCTTAAAAAATGAAAATACCCTCTCAGAACAGTTTCTTTGTACAAAACCCTAAGCGGTAACATTATGGAAGAAGGTGGGTAGTAAATGCATTTTTATGGGAGTGAATAAAAGTTCTCTTTTGCTATTTCCAAAGGAAAGAAATCTATGAATGGTTTGGTTTATTCCACAAAGAGCTACCAAATACCTCTTCTGCACTGGGCATTGCTCTAGGGGCTGGAAATACAGCAGCGAACAAATGAAGTAAACTCATGGAGCTCACATTTAAAGGGGGAAACAGTTAAACAAGCAAGACATAGTCTGTTGAGATCAGGGCTACGAAGAAGGTGAAACTGGATGATGTGATCTAGAGTGACATGTAGGAGGCAGGAGGCTGTTTAGACAGGGTGATCAGGCAAAGAGAAGAGAACTGAAAGCGTACATTACGAGCAGCCAGACATTCATGACATGGAGGACAAATATTCCAGGCAGAGGAACTGAGAGAAAGGGGAGCTGAGTGACCATTGACAAATGAGAGGAGATGGGGGAAGGGGAAGCATAGATTTAGGCAGGGACAGATCACAAGTTCTATTCTGAGATATGTCATGCAGCTGGAGGAGTTTAAGTAGGAGAATAAAGCACTTGACTTAAACATTTAAAATCAGCCTGTTCCCTGTGTGTGGAGAAGATTGTAGGGAGCCAGAAGGAACACTGGACACTTGAGAGACAGTAGCATTAGGCTGGATGAAAGCAGGTAGAAGCTCAGATTAGGGTGGGGGTGCAAAGAAGTGGACTAATTCTGGATATGAGGTAGACTTTGACAAGAACAGTAAGTATTACTTAAGTGCCTTCTTGGCCCAGCGTTTCTTGGAATTCTGTAAGGGATACAAAAAATATGATACTACCAAGATTCAAATATCCAGGAGTTTTGCATTTAATTGGACAGATAAGACATAAGCATATATTTATAAAACATATATAGACTCAAAATGCATCACAGGGTGATGGAAATAATAAATGCAGGAACGAAGGCTCCAGTGTGGGTAGAGGTAACAAGGAAAACTTCATAAACTTGGGATGGGCCTCCAAAGATATGTTAAGTTTGAAGGAGAGCATTCCAGGTTGGATAAAGCATGAACAAATTTAAAAAGTAAAGACTGAATGTGCACTGTTTGGTTTGGGTAAATAGTACATAAAAAGAATTATCCACCATGATAAAGTGGGATTCATTCCTCGGTTACAGGGCTGCTTCAATATTTGCAAATCAATCAATATGATACATCACATTAACAAAAGAAAAGATAAAAACCATATGATCCTATCAATAGATGCAGAAAAAAATAAACTAATCTGGTTGGATTAGAGTTTGCATACAGCAAATAATGCTAATTAGATGAGATCAGTAATGCGAGAATAGATGATAGAGGGCTTTGAAATCTAGGATGAGTTTAGATTTAATCTTCTAGGCCAGGGGTCAGCAAACTTTTTCTGAAAGGGCCAAATAATATTTTAGGTTCTGAAGGTCATATGGTCTCTGTTTCAATGACTCAACTCTTCAGGGGTGCCTGCCTGGCTTAGTTGGTTAAGTGTCTACTTGGCTCAGGTCATGATCTCTCTGTTTGTGAGTTTGAAGCCCCTCCCCCCTCCTCCTCTCCCCCCTCTCCTTTCTTCTCTTCCCCCCCCCACCCACTCACAAGCATACCCTTTCTCTCTCTCCTTCTCTCTCTCTCAAAAAACCAGACAACAACAACAACAACAACAACAACAACAAAACCCTTCACTCAACTCTTCCACTGTGGTATGAAAGCACCCATAGATAATACTTTTTAAATGACTGTGGCTGTGTTTCAATAAACATTATTTATAAAAACAGGTGGCAGGCCAGAATCAGTCCTTGATTACAGCAGCAGAGCAATAGAATAAAAATGATGTTTTGTGAATTTTTGAAGTAACTATGTGCAAGGGGAAGGATCATTTCTTTGTCACTTAGCAATCCATTTTCCCTATCCTCCTTCCTCATAGTTTCCAGACTTTCAGTCAGATGTCAACTTCTCTCACATGTTTGGGTAGAAGTCAGTTGAACTCCTAGCTTTAGGAGTAGTCTCAGATTAATCTAAATTCATCAGGTTATCCTATTCCTCATTCTACAAGGGTCAGTTGAGGTAACCTATACCTAAGCCACAAAGTGCATGCCATTTGTCCGGCATAGAGGGAGGTTCAGGAAGGACACCTAAACTAAATTTCTCCAATAACACGCACTGTATCCTTTGTAGTAATGGAGCTTCTAGGAAAGCAACCTTCTGACTCTGGAAGAGCCAGTAAGAATACACTCTTCTTTTCTGGGCAGGGTGGTATATAGACATAAAACTTGGATTTCTGGATTTGGTTAGTTAGTTAGTTTGTTTTTTGAGTTAGTTTGTTTT